GAGAGAGAGAGAGAGAGAGAGAGAGAGAGAGAGAGAGAGAGAGAAGATGAACATATTGTAGAGTGAGTGGCTTGTGAGGAAGGAGAGTCAATCAGGATGAGAGAGAGCGTGCTTTGCACTTTCGGATTGCATCTTTTGGTATGGGTAATTTCAACCCGATTGTAGTATAACAGTTCAACCATGGGATCGATCTGATGGCTATAAAGTGAACCCCTTATAACTTACCACTCATTATAGTCTGAGCGGCAGAAACGACCTAGGTTGCAGATGGCCTAGCTCCCAAGACCCAGCCCTGCTGAGGGCCTAGCTCTCAGACCCGAGACAATTTTCACCAAGACTGCAGAAAATCCAAAGCCCCCTTGCCGAACGACAAGGAGCGTGCAAATGTTTTTGGGGGACAAAGCTTGACAAATGCCCAAACCCTATAAGTTGAAGTCACAGCTAAGACAAGACCCCTGGTCCAACCCACGAGCCCAGCTCCAATTTGGAGGCCCAGCCCTGCCAAAACCAAAAAAAAAAAAAAAAAAAAAAAGGCCCAACACCAAGCCCTTGCCTCACGCCAAGCCCAGTCAACATATGGCACTCACCTTAGCCACCAAAGACCAAGGGCTGAGCAGAAAATCAAGGGGGCTTCGCAAGGCCCTTAAGGTATCTTCGTGTCTTGCTGAAGGTTTTGCAGGCGCATCTCCTATCAAATAATAATAATAATAATAATAATAATAATTATTATTATTATTCTTTCCTAAAATAATAATAAAATATGCATTCTTGCATTTTTCCTTCAGCACCCTTGTGCCTTTTACAACCCCTTTTGCTTTCGGCACTCCCATGCCTAGCCACATCATCTTGCAACATGCAAACTTTGTATTGCCTTAGGCACCCTCGTGCCTGGCCACATCTTGTGTTGCCTTTAGCACCCTCATGCCTAGTCACATTGCCTTGCAACATGTAAGCTTTGTGTCCCTTCGACATCCCTTTTGCCTTTGGCACTCTCGTGCGTAGCCATATTGTCTTGCGACATGCAAGCTTTGTGTCACCTTCGGCACCCTTGTGCCTAGGCACATCGCCTTACGACATGCAAGCTTTGTGTTCTTTCGGCATCCCCTTTGCCTTTGGCCCCTCGTGCCAAGCCATATTGTCTTGCAACATGCAAGCTTTGTGTCGCCTTTGGCACCCACGTGCCTAGCCACATTGCCTTGCAACATACAAGTTTTGTATTTTCGGCACCCTACTGCCTAGGCCCATCGACTTGCGACATGCAAACTTTGTGCCTTCGGCACTCTCATGCCTAGCCACATCTTGTGTCGCATTCGGCACCATCGTGCCCGACCACTTCACCTTGCGATATGCAACTTTGTGTCTTCGGCAACACCTTAACCTTCGGCACCCGCGTGCCAAGTTCTCTCCTCCAAATGTCCTTCTTACCCGCGGACTTGGGGGACTATGGGCAGTGCCATATATAGCTTGGGGATCTCGCTTCAGGACCCTCAAGGCCTAGCTTCTTTACCATAGCATCCTTGCCGAAGCCTCAAGGCCCCGGCCTCTACCAACGCTCAACTCCACAGATCCCAGTCTCCGGCTCCCTGCAAAATGTTTAGGTACCCAGCTACCAACAGCGTTAGAAGCTCACACAGCCACCGTACCTTCCAAGTGTTGAAGCAACTTCTAGCTTGCCAACTTGGAGGACTAGTGACTGCCCTATAGCTCCCACTGAACCTGGAATGCTCGGTCATGATTACACAAAAAACTCACAAGTTCTCAACCCAGAAGTCACTTCTCGACCGTGAACTTGGGGGACTACTGTTTACACCATAATCAACCGAGCATATCCAGCCTTAAAACAACTAGCACCAAGGCAGACACGTGTCACCACCACATCAACTTGCACAAAGTCCCACATCAGAAATCTACACAAACCTCCCACTTTCACCTCCCTATAAATAGGGAGTAGTATCCATGTGAAAAGATGACTTCTTCTCTCTACTTAGAGGAGGATCCGGGTCTCAGAGCTAGACCCTAGGGCCGGGGACTCTCTTCTAGATCCCTGGCCTGGGCATCTCACTTGTCATCTTTATATTCGGGTCCGACCCTATGTACAAATGTAATCATACACTATTATAATGAGAACATACTTCTCCGTGGACGTAGCCCAGGTATATTTTTTTTTGAGTTTCCGAAATTTTTTTCACTAGGCCTGTAGTTCGGCAGGTTCTTTTCGGCTTGGCTTTCTGAATACGCGGTGAGATAGCCTCTACCAATCTACAGCAGGTCTTAGAGTCGGGGTCAGCCTGGCGCATGGGCTAGGCCGTCAGACATTTGGCAAGAGTTGGGCTAGGCCAAAGTGGGCCTTTGGTAAGCGCAATGGTTCGCACTAGGGTTTTGCAGAGAGAGGGGTCGGGTTATTGTGAAATTTTCGCGGAGCTGGGTTGTTGAAGATTCGGCGAGGTATTTGAGCTGTTCTTTCGGCAACAAGGTACTTTTTGAGACCAAAAATGATTTTTCATGGGACTTGCCGTTCGGCAAGGCTAGCTTTGCTCATTTCGACATGATGGTAACTTTCGTTTTTGTAGGCGTTAGGAGCTAATCTTCGGAGCTGGGCTTGAGGTTGTACCTTCGGGCAATAGGCTGGGTCTTGGCTACCTTGTGCGCATGGGCTCGGGTCTTGGTGATTTCGGCACAGGTTGAGGTGAGCATTTTGTGAATCCCTTTTTATTCCGCTCGAATGGCAAGGGTGTCATGAGCAAATTTTTTGATGCCTTGATTGTTGTGTCTTTGGCAAAGCTAGTTTGAAAGGAAACTTCGTGTTTTCCCAGCTTCAGTAAGGGAGTGGTGTAGGTATTTGGACCTTCGGCAAGCTTGATCTTGAAGAGTATCTATGGGTAGCCTTTTCGGATATGCACAGTCCTTGCCTTTCGGCAAGGGTGTCTTGATCAATTTTTGCGAGCCCACGAGATGGTCTAGGGGCTAGGATCTTGCGTTTGATCTACATCCAAGGGACCGGGCTGTTTGCGTTTGATATACATCCAAGGGGCCTAGGCCACATCGCCTTGCGACATGCAAGTTTTGTGCCTTCAGCATCCCTTTGCCTTCGGCACCCCCATGCCTAGCCACATCGTCTTGTGACATGCAAGCTTTGTGTTGCCTTTGGCACCCTCGTGCCTAGGCATATCGCCTTGAGACATGCAAGTTTTGTGCCTTTGGCATCCCCTTTGTCTTCAGCACCCTCGTGCCTAAGCACATCGCCTTGCAAACATACAAGCTTTGTGTCACCTTTGGCACCCTCGTGCCTAGGCCACATCGCCTTGCGACATGCAAGTTTTGTCACATTCGCACCCTCATGCCTAGGCACATCGCCTTGCGACATGCAAGCTTTGTGCCTTTGGCATCCCCTTTGTCTTTGGCACCCCCGTGCCTAAGCACATCGCCTTGCAAACATACAAGCTTTGTGTCACCTTTGGCACCCTCGTGCCTAGGCCCATCGCCTTGCGACATGCAATTCTTATGCCTTCAACACCCTCGTGGCCAACCACGTCACCCTACGACATGCAACTTTATGCATTCGGCAACCCCTTCACCTTCGGCACCCTCGTGCCAAGTTTTCTCCCTTCCAAATGTCCTTCTTACCCGGGGACTTGGTGGACTATGGGCAGTGCACTATACAGCTTGGAATATGAACTATGGTGTTGCTCGGCCAGTGCACTTAAAATTACAAGTCCCCAATCAATAAGTACCTTCTTACTCTCGAACTTGGGGGACTACTGTTGGTACCGTAACTGACCGAGCAACTAGCTTGGCTAGATCACCCATGTGCCATGCTTTGAGAGGTCATCACCTTAGCCAAAGAAGCATTACCACAAGTCACAACTCTAAGCAAAGCAAGAGGAGTCCCACATCGGAAAATTACAAGAGATGAAGACTCCCCTTCACCTATGAAAGAAGACCACTCTCCACTTAGAAAAGGGTCTTGGATCTAGACCCTTGGGCCTTGGACTCTCTTCTGGATCCCTGGGCTGGGCTTTATCTTTAATCATGGGCTTCCCCATTCTTATCTTTATATTTGGGTTCAACCCCATGTACAAATGTAATCATACATTATTATAATGAGAACATACTTCTCCGTGGACGTAGCCCATTCATTAAGGGTAAACCACGTATGTCTCGTTTCTTTATATTTATCACTTGCTCACATCTTCACACACATGCTGAAGGTCCTCACCTTTATCCATCATCCACCATTCTACGTCTATCTAAGTTGGCCCTCCCAAAAAAAGCATCAACAAAAAGGTTAGGCTGTAGCGAATTGCTTCAAAGAATCAACCTAACATCAGCATTTGACATTAAGCAAGAGACATTAAAAAAACATCTAAACTGTAAAAACAGCAGCCACAAGGATCATTAAATCTTGGATATCCTTAAATCTTCTACAAAAACAAGGTTAACACAAATCATAAACCACATTTAGTATTTCATTATCCTCAAAAAAACAGAGAGCATATTGCCTATCTTATCTAAGAGCACCACCTACCAATACAACAAATTCGAAAAAAACCAACATAAACTAGCGTTCTGTGTAACCATGCAGCGAGCAAAGAGCAGACAAATGGTTTGCCAGAATCAACATTATGCTTTCAAAATCAATGGAAGAACGCCAAAAGGGCAGCATCATAAACACAAACAAACAACTAGGAAAGATTTAAAACAAAAAAACTTGATTTCCATGAAAAAGTTGAAGCCTTCACATGGACACAATAACAGAGGATGTACCTGATTTGAAGAAGAGAGAGAGAGAGAGAGAGAGAGAGGAAGAAAGATGGGGATTTTATAAGAGCTTGACTGAAAAATAGCACAACTGAGTCCGTCGTCCAAGGCGGGACTATCCTCTCACTCTCAGCATAGGGAAAGGAAGATGGTTTTATGTTTTTATATTGTCAAAAATAAAAGGCTTAAATGCGGCTTTGCCTCTAACTAAACCATAATTGTCAATTTACCCCATGACATTTTGTTTTGGTAAATTAAGGACTTAAAATATATGAAAATGTTCAAGTTGGGACTTGCCGTCAATTTTTTAGATGTCCATCTAAAATTCTATCATGTGACTTGCACATGGTCAGTTTTTTAGAAAAACAAAAGTGTGAGAAAAAAGAGAAGAAAATAAAAGGGAGTTTTACTAAAACACCCAAAATGGGAGCTGAAATTATAAAAAAACCCAACACCCAAAACACTTTATAAACACACCAAAAACCCATCATTACACACATTCAAAACCCATTTATAAACACGCCCAAAAAAAATACAATTGTTGACTTTGGGGTTGATTTTGGGTGTGTTTATATGTTTAAATAGTATTTGAGTTTTTTTATAAATACATGTCTAGGATTGGGTTTATTTATAAATTTGTAAAAATAAAAAGAGTTAAAAGAAAAACAAATGTCAAAAAATGAACCAGCCCCCAGCCGCGTTCCTCCAACCCCCACCAGCCGCTCCCACCAATCCTCAGACACAACATCAACCCCCCATCTCCACCATCTATTCCACTAGCGTCTTCCATATCCATGGAATTACTTACTCCGCCTGTAACACCCCACACCCATCTCATCCAATTCTCTCAGCCCAATATTCTCATATCCCCAACTCCCACTTTGCATGAGCCTCTTGTTGATGATTTTAAAGGAAGTTGAGGTTCCACCTCAAAACCAATTGGCAATAGGGGGAGTAGCCCAACTCCTTATATACCTAGGCTAGGTCCCTTAACATTTCAATTTGGGACAAACACTATCAACAGCCCCCGCACATGTGGCGAACTTTCAAGCCTAACACGTGGACAACACATATTGGGTGACGTGGGAGCACGTGTGGCCGTTGGGCCCAAACGTGGAGGTAAGGGAGATTGCACTGACATTATCACACCACAAATGTGGAAGAGGAATGGGAATACGAAGATCACGAAACAACGAACGTACCTAGGACAAGGTAGCAGCTATATAAGCTAATTGGCGGTATTCGGCCTCCGTACTGGAGCTTGAAACACCCCGTTGTTTCTTGGGCTCCAGAAAACAAGATTATTACCAAGATAGATACAATACCCTTATGTAGAGCAATGATCATCGGGATCACCGGCATAGTCAACATCAGCATACGTAGTAAGACGTAACTCACCAAGTTTATATACAAGACCATGATCAGAGGTAGACTTAAGATAACGAAGAATCCGTTTGACAGCAGCCCAATGAGTTGTCGTGGGTGTATCCATAAATTGGCAGACTTGATTAACGAAAAAGGCAATGTCTGGATGTGTGTAAGTAAGATATTGAAGAGCCCCAACCACAGTTCAGTACTCAGAGACATCAGATAATGGGTCACCGTCATGCAAACTTAATTTACGACCACCAACAGCAGGAGTAGGCAAGGGTTTGCAGTCTAACATCTTCGTGCGTGTCAAGAGATCCAGTATATATTTGGATTGAGATAAATGTAGGCATGTGAAGGTTCGTACCACTTCCATGCCCAAGAAGTAATGCAAGGGGACCAAGATCTTTCATAGAAAATTGACGACCCAAATCGAGAATGAGTTGAGTAATGTGCGACCAACTATTGCCTGTAACTAAAATGTCATCAACATAAATCAACAAGTTGATAGTAATAAACCCATGAAAGTACATGAATAAGGAGGAATCGGCCTTGGAAGTAACAAAGCCCAAATGCTCAAGATGAGTAGAAAAACATTGAAACCAGGCGCGCGGAGCCTGTTTGAGCCCATATAATGAATGGTTGAGTTTACAAACATGTGTAGGATATTGTGAATTAAGAAACTCAGCAGGTTGCTTCATGTAGACTTCCTCAGTGAGAGAACCATGGAGAAAAGAATTTTGGACATCAAGCTGGCAAATGGACCACCCAAAATGAATAGTGATGGCTAAGATAAGACGAATGGTGGAGTGATTGGCCATGGGGTTGAAGGTCTCGACATAATCCAGACCCTTTTGTTGATGAAAACCATTGGCCACCAAACAGGCTTTAAACTGTTCAATGGACCCATCAGAGCATGTCTTGATATGAAATACTCATTTGTATTCATAGTAGGTTTAGAAGGAACCAGAGTCCAGGTGCCAGTTTTTTGTAAAGCATTAAATTCTTCGACCACGGCCTTGCGCCAGTGTTCAAACTTTTGGGCTTGACTAAAACAGGTGAGCTCAACCAAGTGATTAGTAATAGCAGTAAGATGAGCATACTTAGGATTAGGCTTATAAATACCAACCTTAGCACGTGTGAGCATAGGATGAACTAGGGATGGAGATGCAGCAGCACTTGGTGAGGGAGGAGAAGAGTTGGCAAACCCTATATTTCCTTCCGTTGCAAGATGGGAGGGAAATGTTAAAACATTGCGGTAGGAATCACGACAGTAAGCCTGCAAAAGAGAAGGAGAAGCAGCAGGCTGTTGAGTAGGAGGAAGAGGCGGTGATGGAGGAGGAGACCCAATTTCAATCACGACCTTAGGTGGACTTGGAGAGCTAGCAGCCAAAGGAGGAGTGATGATGGTGTCTTTAAATGGAAAACAATGTTCATAAAAAACAACATGCCTAGATAGAAAAACACAACCAGTATGCAAATCAAGACAACGATAGCCATGGTTATTTAAAGAAAACATACTGTTTTGATCGAAATTGAAGCTTATGTTGATTATATGGATGTAAATAGGGAGTCTTGTGAAACATATTGAGGAGTCTTGTGAGGAGTCTTGAGGAGTCTTGTGAAACAACCTGTGATAAAGAGAAACATTTTGAAGCACACGAGTGGGCAAACGATTAATAAGGTAAGTAGCAGTATGAAAAGCCTCAACCCAATATGACAGAGGCATAGAGGCATGAGCCAAAAGAGTTAGCCTAGTTTCAACCAGATGGCGATGTTTACGTTTCGCCAAACCATTTTGTTCGGGGTGATGGGGCAAGAAAATTGATGGTGAATGCCATGGGTATGGAAAAAGGATTGAATTTTTATATTCACCACCCCTATTAGTCTGAACTATATTAATTTTAGTATTGAACATGTTCTCGACCAAGGTTTTGAATTGAACAAAAGTAGCAAAGACATCGAATTTTAGTTTTAGGGGATAAAGCCATGTGTAGCGAGAAAAATCATCAATAAATAAAACATAATAACGAAACCCAGAAAAAGATAAAGAGGGAGAAGTCCAAACATCTGAATGTATTAATTCTAATGGAGACAACGCAATAGAGTTGAATAATTTAAAAGGTAATTTTTCTACTTTTGCCCAAAGGACAGGACTGACAAAAAGAATGAGAAAAAGAGCCTTGAAGAGACAAATTATGACGCAAAACTAAATAATTTAAAACAGCTTTGGAAGGATGACCGAGCTGCGAATGCCAAACGCCATCAGCCACGTAACACCTAAACATGCAAAGACACTATTGGAAAACTTTGAAGATGAAGGAACCGGAAAAGGATAGAGGCCATTATCACTCCGCCCTTGGAAAAAGATCTTCCCAAACCTGTACCACCAAGCACGCCATTAACGTTGTCAATTCCCTAGTACTCCTGAGGATGAGAAAGCTGACTCAAATCATCGGAGATATGAGAGTTGGCACCTGAATCAGTAAGCCGCTAAGAAGAGGAAAAATCGCTAGTGGAAGCAGCAATACTAGCAGAAGATTGAGCAGCATAAGTAGTAAGACGCTGAGCCGAGACTCAGCCTCATATGAAAGATTGAGACGGTTGAAGCAATCAATTGCAGAGTGACCATAATGGGTGTAGATTCGACATTACATGCGATCGGGAGCAGCAAAACTGGGAGGCACAATGAAGAAGCACCAACAGAACCACCAGGAGCAGCACCAAGAAGACCAGACACATAGGAAGACAAGCCGCGACCAAAGCTAGGAGAAAAACAGGAAAGAAGAATCGGAACCGAAATCGTGAGAAAAATTGCTACAAGAAAAAATAGAAAACCACTGCTTCGGGGGAAAAAGGAATCACGACTGCGGAAACCACCACGACCACGAGCAGCAGCGAGAACGGTAGCACCAGTGTCACCAAGAGGTGGTAAATATTGAAGATGGCATTATGCACTTAAGAGAAGAGCATCCAACACAGCATAGGTGATGGGAGTGTCATGAGCTTGAGCAGAAGCAATAGTAGTTTCATACATGGGCCCAACGTCATTCATAATAATGGCCACAAGATCATCATCGTTGAAAGGAGAACCAAACAATGCAAGAGTACTAGAGAGCAGTGACCTTGTCAAGATAATCTGCAATGGAAAGGTCACCACGAGTAGTCCACAAAAGATCAATGTGAAGCTGCAAAATACAATTGTGCGACTAAAAAGCGTTGCAATTTTCCAACGAAACCCAGGTAGTATGAGCAAAAGTCAACAGAGCAACAGTAGACAAGACAGTGGAAGAAAGAGAAGAATTCAACCAAGAACGAATTTGTTGGTCTTGCTAGATCTAGTCTTCATTCGCAGGATTAACAAATTTAGTGAGTTTGCCTTCAGCATCAGTCAGAAAGGCAGCAAAACAGATGCTAAAACCATCAACAAAAGAGAGAAGATTGTGACTGCGAAGCAAATGAACAATATGTGCACACCAGAAAGGGAAATTGGTGCGATCAAGTTTGATAGTCAAAAACTTGGAGATGTTAGAGGATGACGCCATGCGGACAGAAGAGCTCAAAGTAGCAGAAGAAGACATGAAGAGAGGAGGGGAAAAAAAAAACGAAGTCGTTAGACTATGTGTTGCTCTGATACCATGAAAGAAGTTGAGG